TTTTACAAAGTCACAATTTAAAGCTAGAAATTAAAGACCCTACTAGACTTAGTAGTAACACATGTCTTGATAACTTTGCTCACAGTATTCATAAATGTAAAAGTGAAGTTATTGAATTTGGACTATCAGATCACACAGCTCAAATTTTACAATGTCCAGTCAAAAAAATATGCGTGATAAAATCTTGGCGTATTAGAAGACGTGATTATAGTAAGGAAAATCTCATAAAATTCAAAAATTGTATGAACAACTTAACTTTTTCTAATATTTATCTAATATTTACTTATTTTAATGGGACTGTTAACACGATATACTTTTATATAAATATATATATGTGTTACAGGGCCCGTTTTCTTATTCTATTTATTCTTACTTACTACTTTACTTGCTATGTGCTTACAAAATTTAAGGAACTTATTTCTAATGTGCTTATTTCTAATTTTGGTTAGGTTAGGTTAGGTTTTTTTTCCAATAAGTACTCCGTCCGTCCGTAAGTCCGTACCTTTTTTGCTTTACTTTATTTTATTAACTTTTAAAATACTGGTATAAATGTACTCCTTACACTACTTACATTACTTAAATATTTAAGCCTAAGCAGTGAGTTCACTTATATATATATATATATATATATATATATATATATTTTGTATTATTATTCTTTTTTTTTTATTTCTATTGTCTTACATTCTTAAGATCTACAAACTGATATGCTTACATGCGACATGCACTTACACGATATTTTTTTTTGGCATCAGTATTAGTTATCTTTTTTTTTGTTGTTTAAACATAATAATTGTCGACCCACTTTGTGTTTTTATATTTTTTTTTGTCCTTTTTTATCCCTTATGTAGTTATCTACATACTTAATGTTTATGGCCTTACATGCTATGTTAATTTATTATATTACCAGAATTTTTTTTCCCCTTTTACTTGTTCTTAATGTCGTGGAGGGTGCTCCATCTTTAACTGTTTGTGATATCTGTTGACAGGGCTTCCACAATAGCTTCGTCTCTGTTTCTAATTGCCATTTTCAGATTATATTCTTTGATTCTTTTCGTTGTCGCAGCCATTGCGCTCTCAACCAGCCTCCCAGTTGCATCGTCGCAATCGTCCGTGTAATAAACACAGCTTTCTGTATGCCTGGACACTGCCACTACTGCGAGTTGGACACTGTCATAAATTTTGAGCTTCTCTGTTGTTGTCCTCATTATGACCACTCTCCTGTATGTGAGACCTTGGGCCTCATGTACGGTTAAAATTCGCGACCCAAGACCCGAACCATATCCCTGGCTGGTAAGGGACTCCTTTTCTGCTTGCGTAAATACAAGATATAAGGTGTCGGGCAGGATACCTGGTATGACGACTCCCGTGTACCTCTTCCTTTCTAGTGAGTGCACCTGAGATCTGGATGAATAAATGCCACTGTAGATTTCATTCAGGGCATATGCCACATCCATCGGATTCCGGTGCGTACACAGGAGCTCTTGGCTGATAGTGGTCACGAGGCTTGGGCGAGTATATTGCATCGCAAAGAGGTTTTGCCTGTCGATATAAGGAAGTTGATTGATGTCACCAATAAGCAATATTTTTTCCGCTCCACTTAGCCGCATTGCCATTACTATGGCCCCGAAATGATTCATGAGAGCTTCGTCGACTAAAAGTCGAGTACATCTTCCCTTTTGCCTTCTCATACCATTTACTAAAACTGAGGCCATAGTGCGCACTTTTGTTTTTGCGTAGTGCACGGTCCCGCATATCTTACTGCTAAGGGCAACTAAAATAATATCAACTCCAACATTAGTAGGTCAGACCTCAAAATCATTCAGGTGAACTTACAACGCTCCAGGGTAGCAACGGCGGAACTACTTCAGGTTGCATCGAATAAAGGAGTGTCGATTGCCATAGTACAGGAACCCTATGTGGGAAAAAATGGCGTTATTAAAGAACATCCCGGCACGCGAGTAGTTCAATGCAGCCTGAATAGACAAAAACCAGTAAAGGCCGCAGTGCTGATCTTCGGAGACCAGCTGGAGATTATCCATGATCCACAGCTGGTTACCGAAACAGAAGCGGCAGTACTTCTCGTTGCAGGAAATTTAAAACTGGGAGTCGTGTCAGTTTACCTCGAGGGAGAGCAAGATATAAATCCCTACCTTAGGTGAATCCAAGCAGCTTGCGCAAAACTTCACACAAACAACATCATAGTGGCTGGAGACACAAATGCTTGGAGCCAATGGTGGGGAAGTAATTCCGAAGATGAAAGAGGCGCGGCATGTAACACCTTCCTCAATGAAATGGATCTCCATATTCTGAACACAGGTGACACGCCTACCTTCGAAACATACAGAAGGGGGAGAATTTGTTCGAGCATAGTAGACGTCACTGCTTGCAGTTCGTCACTTCTCGGCAATGTGGAGGACTGGAGAGTGGAGAGAAGCCTAGTTACATCAGACCACAACCATTATGTTTACACTGCGCACCAAAGCGGTCTTGACACAATTACGGCCCTGCACAACACGCAAATACAACACCAGAAAGGCAAACTGGTCGGACTTCTCAACACGCTTTAGATCCCTTCTAAAAGAAAGAGCCATAACTCCCACACTAATTGAGGAGACGGAAATCCATGACGATCTGGAATCCATCACAATAGCCTACACAAAAGCAATTCAGGAATCTTGTGATGAGACTATTCTGAAAATGGGCATGAGGGGGGTGAATGCAACGCCCACATGGTGGTCAAAATCTCTCAACCAACTCAAAAAAGAAGTCCATAGGAAAAAAAGACGTATTAGAAATGCGGCACCAAGTCGAAGACAACACGTAATAGACGAATACATAAGTTTTAAACAACAATACACCATAAAAGTTGAGGAGGCGCAAACCGAAAGCTGGAAGGAATTCTGCACGACACAGGAAAGGGAGAGCATGTGGGATAAAATTTACAGAGTTATCCGGAAATCCTCAAGAAGATATGAGGACATGCTCCTAAGAAACATCCAAGGGGAAACTCTGACACCAAAAGAGTCGGCAGAACTCTTGGCCCAAACATTTTACCCTGACGACTGTGTGGAAACAGATCAGCCATACCACACCAAAATACGAGAGCTGACGGAAATTAACAAAGACCTAGGTTTGTCACCTTTTGCAGAAGCGGAGCTTGAATCAGTGTTACAAACACTAAACCCCAAAAAGGCCCCTGGACCAGACGGGCTAACAGCTGACATCTGCTCCGCTGCAATAAACTGCAACAGGAAGGTATTCTTAGCGATAGGTTAGGTTAGGTTAGGTTTTTTTTTTTTTTTTAGAGACTGTTAGGTTTTCTTACATAATGCTATCGGGATACAAGTTGCATTATGGAGATTGGATCTCTTTAATTATTTAGTTTTTTAGATATTATTTTGGCAGTCTTTTTTTCCTTTTGATATATTTTGTTAATTATTATATTTTTTTAATGATTTAACTATTTTGTTTATGTGTTTAGTAAACGTTTCTATAGTTGTGTATTTTTTAACTATGTCTGTTAAATCGTATGGCTTTATTTTTAAGTTATTGCAGATAATTTCATGGTCTATTCTAGTATTGTTAAATTTTGGGCATTCTTTAATGAGATGGATAACAGTTTGGGATGTGCTTCCGTCACACGGGCAATAATCATTTGGGCTTATTTTGAACCTATATAGGTAGCATTTGTGAAACCCGTGATTACTTAGAATTTGCGTAAAATTAAAGTCAGGTTTGATTTTTTCAAACTTTGTGGAGTTCTTCGTATGTAGGGCACCACGTTTTGGTATATGTGCAGTTAACTATGTTATTGTAATAATCTTCACTCGCAGTTTGTAAAATCTTACGATGTATTTGTTTTATGTAGCTGATAGGAAATTTGGAATAATCGAGGGCTTTCTTTAAGTTCGTTGCTGATTTGGCTGCCGAGTCCGCTAATTCATTCCCGGTTACACCATTATGGGCTTTCGTCCAGATGAATATTACTGATTTATTTCTTGTTTCTATATTAGTAACGTTGCGGTGTATTGCTACTGCTAATGGGTTCGTGGTGTTTGGGTTATTTAACTCTAAGAGGCTTGACTTGCTATCGGAAAATATTGAAAATTTTATAAGTTTACCGTTCAGAATCCATTCACTTGCTTTTAAAATTGCAAAAAGTTCAGCTTGGTATACAAAACAAGCGTCATGCAGTTTATATTTCTTAGCGACGTTTTGATCATCAGAGTGAATAACAACAAAAGCAGCTCCTACACCTTTATCAGTCTTGCTTCCATCTGTAAATATACTTGATGTTGCTGTATCGGAGTATTGATTTATCGCACCTTTAGGACGAAAACGACACAATTCAAAAAAAAAACTAAAATTGAGTTATCGTCATATAATGACTCAAAACGAAATACTCAATCTAACAATAGTTCAAACAAAGCCATATTCGAGCGGGAACAGGACAAAACTGTTATATCGGTCTCTTTATTACGCGGCGACATGCGGGCCTGAGTTGGGGGGGAAACGACGTAGTCAGTGTTGTGTTCGCATCGCTAAGTGTAGGACGTCGCGCAGACAGCCAGATAGTGACCCAAAGCCTATTACGTCGTTTTCATTCCGAAACTATTGGTAAGTTCTCTTTCGATTTTTAGTATGTAAACGACCAATTTAGCCTTGCGATTGTTTTCTTCCGATTTCTATGGTAATACTAGTGACTTAATCGGGTTAGTGGCATTTTATTATTAAAAACACATAGAATTCCAATAATGGATTTAAGTTTGTGTCGTGTTAATAATAAATAACGATGAATGTTTTGGAACTAAATTTGACTTATTAGAAATAAAGTCGTTTTTTTATTTATCATAGTATTATTGTTTGTGACTCATTGATTATTATGCCATTTATTTATTTATTTCTAGATTAAAAGGAAGTTGCATTGGTTAATGTGTCACTACACAAATACAGAGCCAGCAAGTTTTTAAAGAAAAGTTACTTAAAAAGATAAAAAAATGAAAAGGAGGACGGACATTATAATGGATAATGCATTAAAAAATGTTAAATATTACAAAGCAAATGAACGAAACGAGGTATGAACTACGTTCCTTAATACATTTTATACTGTGCACTTTTTATTGTGAATTTCATATTGTTTTTTTTAACCATTGCGGTGTTTATCTTTCGTCAGGAACAGGCAGACAACAAATTGAAAGAGAATTTGGCTCTGAATTCCACAGAGATTGACAATTTACCAAAAGAAATGCCTGACATTAACAATTTTCTTATTAACATCAATCAGATTGACTTGGTAAGCAATAATTTTTGTTTAGTTTGGTGCAGACGACCAAACAGTTTGACGTTGAAAGTGCCTATAATCCGTTACAATAAGTGTAAGTGTTACCACTGATGTGCTGCAGTTGACCGTACCTACTTTAGTCTAACTTCTCACATATTTAGCTATAGTTAAAGTGTGTGTCAGTTTATACTGATATTCTTATTAACATTTTATCTTCCGCCAGGAATCGGCTGATAGAATGAAAAACCAAAAAGAGAACATGAATCCGAATTCTGCAGTTACTGAAGAAGAATCACTAATTAAAATGACAAACAGCGGCAATATTGCTGTCAATTATGAGAGTAAACTTGTAAGTAATTATATTATATCAATTTTCATTCTAGAAAAACCATCTTATAAACAAAAGAAAACTATAGTTTGTTTTATGATTTCAGAAATCTTCAGTGTGCAGTGATACTATAGAGAACTTATTTTCAAAATCCTCATCGTTCATTGAAAACTCCCCACAGTGTACGACCAACGACATTTTTAACCTCAGCCAATATATAAAAACGGTAAGTGAGAAATGTCTCCAAACTCTGCCTATAATAGATAATCTATAATAATAACTAACGTGACGCTTTGGTTCTTTTTTCAGCAGTGGACTGACACTTCAGATAATGAGTTAATTCTTAATCGAGACATACTCACCAGGAGACCTATTCAGGAAAAAAGAGTATCTTCTTCATCTTGTAATAGTTCAAGTTCATCTCGTTCAAGTTCATCAAGTTCCAGCTCCTCAAATTCTAGTCCATGCTCTTCGAGCAACGCACAAAATGTGAACTCTAACGTGATTACCTGTCATATTAATGCGGATGGTGCGAGTACCAGCCAATTAGCTACAAGAAGTCTTCGTGGTAGAGCTATTTTAAAATCAAATTATTGTGTATCACCTATTAATGCTGCTGAAAGTGATCCTGATTTAAGTGATAATGACCCTACATTTCAAGACCCCAACGAAATTTCAACGCGTCTTAGAAGCTTGTCCTCTTCCTCGACAGACTCAACTTCACAACCTGTAACACCCCAACATGAGATACAACAACCTGAGACAAGTAACGTTAACGAACCGAACACGACTCAAAGAATATCAAGAAAAAGGCAGCGTAACCCCGCATCCTGGAAGCAAAATATTAGTAAGGCATTGCGCAACACTGGAAAATCTTACATTTCCCTATCTAAATCTAGAAAAGAAGTTCCAGCCCGTTGTATAAAAAACCCATGCGCTCCATGTCGATTAAAATGTCCTAATCAAATTAATGAAGCCCAAAGATCTGAGATTTTTGAATCGTATTGGAACCTTGCAAGCATGAAGCTTAAAAGATCCTTTATCAGTTTTTGCATGATGGAAGTCAGGCCTAAATATAAATACACCAATGCTGAAAAGCCGAGAGCACCAAATAGTGCGTTTTACTTCACTGTTAATAATCGGAAAATTCGAGTTTGCAAAACGTTTTTTATAAACACTTTAGATATAACAGAAAGACAGATAAGAACTACAAAAGAAAAAACCAATAAATTCATAGCTGAAGATCGCAGAGGAAAACACACTAATAGAAAGACAATTGACGATACCATTATAAAAGACATTGAAAACCATATAAATTCAATCCCAAGGGTAGAATCACACTACTTAAGGGCTTCCACATCTAGAGAGTTCATTGAAGGAGGCAGGACCGTAAAAGATCTTTGGAGAGACTTCTCAGAAGCAAGAGATCCAAATAAACCCAAAGTAGACTACTGGCTTTACAATCAAATTTTTAATAGCAATTTTAACTTGGGATTCTTTCAGCCTAAAAAAAGATAGATGTGATCTGTGTTTGGAGTACGAAATGGCATCTGTAGATCACAAAGCAAAGCTGAAGGAAAAATTCGATACCCATTTAAAAGAGAAAGACCTTTGTCGCCTTGAAAAGAAGAACGACCGCAGAAACATTGGTGAAGGAAATATATGTACCGTATATGATTTGCAAGCAGTCATGCAATGCCCTTTAGGAGACTCGAGTTCTTTTTATTATATATCAAAACTCAACTGCCTAAATTTTACTATGGCTGAGCTGGCTCAGAAATCCGACAAGAAAACAAATAAAGAACAGGAAATTGAAGGGAATCAGGGAAGAAGGGGAGAAGATAGAATTGAAGAAGAAACTGTAGGCGCATATGGGGATGTTTATAATTACTTTTGGGATGAAAAACAAGGAAAAAGGGGGGCAAACGAAATAGGATCGTGCATATTTGAGTATTTAAAAAATGTCAGTGAAAAATATCCTGATAAACCACTGAATATAATTTTCTATTCAGATAATTGCTGTGGGCAAAATAAAAACAGGTTTATTGTATGTCTATACTCGTATATTGTGTCCAACTTTCCAAATATATGAATGAATGAATGAATGAATATACTTTATTGCACACCACAAACAAATTTACAAATAACATAACAGAGAGCAGATTACATGTACAATTTGGCGGCCTTATCGCTACATAGCGATCTCTTCCAGGCAACCAAAGGTGTAAAGGAATAAAACAGTGAGTACTAGGTAGGTGGTGCAATATAAATATACCTAATATAATATCAATACATGCAATAAAATAACATATAAGTAAATAACTAATACATTAAAAAAAATATGATACACATATACATAGGTATATACATAAACATACACACACATATATACATATATATATATACATATACATACATATACACACATACACATATATACATACATATATCCTCAAATATATACCACTAACAATAACATAAACAAATAAATACAAAACTATATAATCACATAATTTATCCTAATGATTTTCGAACGATTGAGACAAGTAATGCTCTTTAAGAAGTCGCTTAAAGACTACAATAGTCTGAGCTTCGCGTAAATACAAAGGTAGGGCATTCCAGAGCTTAATAGACTGTACAGTAAAAGATTTATTAAAGAAAGATGTATTGTGAGTTGGTACCCTTAAAATGAGTTTTCTTGAAGAGCGTAAAGGTTCCCCTGGAAGCCCAACAAAACTAAATTTCTCCTTAAGATAAGGAGGAGTAGAAGGGTGAAATAAGACACAGTACAGAATAGAAAGAATATGCATGTTCCGGCGAAATTGGATAGGTAACCACTTGAGACGTGAGCGAAATTGGGAAATGTGGTCAAATTTGCGCAATCCAAATATGAACCGAATACTAGTATTTTGAAGTCTCTCAAGCTTAGTTAGCTGGTCTATAGTTATGTCTACATAGCTTGCGTCGGCATAGTCGAGAATCGGAAGGAGAAGAGACTGTGCGAGCATAATTTTTGTAGGAATGGGAAGAAATGATCGAAGGCGACGCAGTGAACTAAGAGCGACAAAGGTTTTCTTACTTACCTCATTCAGTTGGCGTTTCCAATTTAAGGAACTATCAAGGTAAACACCAAGATTTTTGACATTGTCAACGTAAGGGATCACAACCCCATCGAATACAACAGGTGGTATGGAAAACCAGTCAATTCTTGAGATAAAGCTCTGACTACCAAAAATGATAGCCTGTGACTTTTTAGGATTGACATTTAGGCCATATGATTGACTCCACTCATGAATCATATTTAAGTCATTGTTTAATGTAGCGATTGCATTTGGCAAATTCTCAAGAGTTGACTGGGTGTAAATCTGGACATCATCCGCATACAGGTGGTAGAGAGAAGAAATTTTATGAGTAATTGAATTAATGAAAATGGAAAAGAGTAAAGGTGACAACACGCCACCCTGCGGCACGCCTGCAGAAATATCACACCAAGATGAGTGAGTTTCATCAACATGAATACACTGCCGACGGCCACAGAGGTAACTTTGAAACCAGTCAATTACTGATGGAGATATGTTAAGGGAATACAACTGACTCAACAGTATATCGAAATCAACAGTATTGAACGCATTGCTGAAATCTAGCAAGGTCATGACTGTGAGTTGTTTATTATCCATACCCCACCGTATGTCATCAGTAACTTTAATTAAGGCAGTAGCCGTACTATGACCGGGACGGAAACCGGATTGTAAAGAATTCAACAAATTGTGCTTATTAAGGAAAAGTGTCAGCTGTTGGCAAATAAGTTTTTCAAGGACTTTAGAAAGGAAAGGTAAAATCGAAATGGGACGGAAATCAGTGAGGTTGACGGGATTAGATTTCTTCGGAAGGGGTATAACATAAGCACTCTTCCAGGCTTGTGGGAATTTAGAGGAAGATGCACATGCGTTAAGCAAATGAGTGATAATGGGAGTGATAACATCAAGGAGAGGAACGATCATATTACGGCTAATGCTGTCGCTACCGACAGCATTTGAGGAGATGGATAATATGATTCTCTTAACATCACAAACAGTAAATTGACTAAAAACGAACGGAGAATAATTAGGAGTCGGACTTACAGAAAGAGAACGAAGTGTTTGCAGTTTATGTTCACTATCAAAAGATTTAGAAGGATTAGAAAAATGTTGATTTAATAGTTCAACATCAACACTGGGAGGTGAAGTATTAAGAGAGTTTCTACCAACTCCAACTGTTTTAAGAAACTTCCACACCCTAGATGAGTCGCCGTTCTCGACTGATGAATGAATATGGCGTCGTTGTGCATCTCTACACAATGTGTTGCAGCGATTCCGGATTTTAGTGTATTTTCTAAGGTTTTCCTCTGTTTTGTTCCAAATATAATGAGTATAACTCACAAATTTCTTATTCGCGGACACACACAGAACGAGGGTGACAACGTACACAGTCTAATTGAAAAGGAAGTGAAAAAAAACCTTAAATCTGGACCAATTTACACTTCTCATCAGTATGTTGCCCTGATAAAAAGTGCCAAGAAGTCTGGAAAGCCTTTTACGGTCTTGGAATTAAGTTATGACTTTTTCATTGATTTAAAATCCCTACAAGATCAGTGGGGTTATAATTTTAATGAAGACGATGAGCGCAACCAGGTGTCTTGGAACGATGTAAAAGTTTTAAGATTCTTGAAAGCCGAACCTTTTATGTTTTTTTACAAAACATCTTACACGCAAGATAATTTTAAGCGTGTGAACATGAGAAACAAACGAAAACGAATGCCTAACCGTGACGATGTCTCAATACCGAAAGCATACACAAATAAAATAAAATTAAGCGAAAACAAAAGGAAAGGGCTAAGCGAATTGCTGCGGAAAAAATTAGTACCCGGTTTTTATATAGATTATTATAAATCGTTAATAGATGATCAAGATAATTGACTGATGTAGGATAGATTTTGTTGTCTTTAAATATTCTATTAGATTATTGTAGAACTTACTTTTTGTTGCATAGTTGCTTTGATTTGAGTTTACGTACGTTACTAAAGACACGATTACTAAAGAAAGTTCCTAATGAACAAAGATATTGGTTTATTTTTAAGAGTTGTATGTTATTGATTTATAAAGACAGAAAAATGTTAAGTAAAGTAAAGATACTAATGGTAAAAGATCTCTGTTTATTTGTGTCGATTTATCTTTTTTTTATGTCAGATGTGTATTATGTTTAAGTACGAAGAAGAGTTCCTAACAAACTAAGATCTCTGTTAGTTATTATAAGTGTTGATTTTGATTTAATGTAACGTTACTCCTAAAGGCTTATGTCAGCATAATTATAACGACCATTATCGTTTAATTGTTTCAATTCAAACATTGCCATTAATAAAAAAACTCCTATTTCTTTGGGTTTTTTTTCTCCCCCATTGACGCTTTTTCCATTTTGGTATCCCATAATTAGTAATTTATTAAAAAAATAATAGACCTAAGTCGGAAAACGTAAAATAATTACATAAAGTTATAAAAACAAAAAAGGCGTAACTTTTAAAATGTCACTTACAAGAAATTATTTTCGGTCGATAAAAGACGCATCTCCTAAACCGTCAAACTTGAAACTTTTTTCTCGGTCCGAAAATGACGGATAAAACAAAATACTTTTTTTTCTATACTATTCCTTTTAATAATTACGTTTGTTCATGACACAATAATAGTTAATTAACCTTTTTATAATTTGTTGCAAAAACATACTTACTGACGTAAATAATTACGAAATAATAGACGAAAGAATGCAGATGTGTCAAAATCTTAAAACTTGTGTTGCTATTTCCCAAAAAGTTGCTATTTTGAGTTACGTCGTTTTCGTCCTAAAGGTGCGTTATATCCTGTTGGTTTGAAGCTTCCTGAAATTGGATTGTTTTTCTTTGGCAAGGGTGTAGAAGTTCTGCAGGTATCACTGGTGTTTCGAGTTCTATATCTTTAGGAAGATATATGGAGGTTTTACATCGCTTTGTTATTTATAAATCTGCACACGTTTTTATTTTAGCTTGTAATGGATAAAGTTTTGCCAGAGAGATTGCAGTTGCCGTGCTTGTTGTTCGAAATCCTCTTATGATTTTAATGGCGAAATTGCGTTGGAGAGAAAGTAACCGTTTTTCTATATACTTATATTTTAGAGCAGAACTCCAAATACTTGATGCATAGCAAACAATAGGTTCTATTACTGCAAGATATATGGTATGCACATTTTCTGAATTTACTCCCCAAGTAGGTTTTATATATTTGACTAATTTTTGAAATAGATTGTACGATTTGTGTATTGTATGTTCTGCATGCTTTATGAAATTTAATTTTTGGTCTATAATGACCCCTAAATACTTTATTTGGCGGAAGAATTGCAATGGTAGACTGTTCATAACTATTTCACATTTGCGAGCTTTATTGGTAAATGATATCATTTGGGTTTTATTAGGATTAAATCTTAGTTTGACTGAGTTTCCCCACGATACAATTTTGGAAAGAGCTTCGTTAGTTGTAGTTTCAAGATTTTGGGTATCTTTTGAAGACACTATTAATAAGAGATCATCTGCGAAGGCTTGGAGATGACATCCATTGGATAGCTCAGATGTTAAGAGCTCATCAAGTATCAGGTTCCATAGCATTGGACCGCAAACTGAACCCTGAACGCATCCCCGAGACATATACTTGGTAGCTGAACTATCCGCAAAATCAAGTTTGACTACACGGTGTTGGAAGTAATTTTTAAGAAGATTATATAAGTTGCTAGGACATTTAATAGTGTGAAGCCTATGAAACAGTGCTGGTAGGTTAGGTTAGGTTAGGTTAGGTTCCCGTGTGGAGTTGCCAGTCCTCCCATCGGGCGCGTCCCCAGGTGGCGGATAGGGGAATGCCACTCAGATATGAGTGGTAGCGGGAAACCGTCGCGGACCAAAACTGGCTGGGTTTGGGGCGTACCTCTGGTTCCGAATGGAATCAAGTACCTGCTAGTTGCTTCCCGTATCCTCTCCACTGAGAGGAACAGAGGATGTGACATGCGCGGTGAGATGCCAGGTGCACTCGGCTTTTGCCGACGCCGGGCAACCCGTCATCGCGGGAATAGAATGGGCTCAGAGTTCCCTCACCCGGTCTCTGGGCAGGCATGGGAAGAACCCGTATCGACTCTGCCACTGTTCGAACCTCGGAATCCCTTTGGCGTGTCGTGGATCATGTCTCGCGGCGCCTGAGGGGCCGAGGGCTCTTGGCTTAACCGCCTGGAGTCGCGAGGATGATAACCTCTATAAAAAATCACCCGAAGCTCAAGCGTGGCACGCCGTGAGGAGCTGCATGGCTGATGGGTGATGGGTAAGGGGTGTTCAGTCGTTAGCGTTGCCCCCCGTCAGGGTACCGGCCGACACCCTTGACGGGTTATGCATAGGCTTATCCGGGCAAAGGGGGCTCTGCTCGGACGGACCGTTACTTCCTCCACACTCGTGGGAAAAAAAATGAATAAAACTTTAAAAAATGTAGACGTAGGAAAAAAGGATGAATCAGACGTGGACAGATCGCGTGGGACGTCTTCCGCCAGGAAACGTCCAGTGTGCCGGTCTTCGGACGAGGAAGGCCTGCCAGCCCCCAAGTTGGCGACTTCGAGGAGGGGTCGGCAGGCATCGAGAGGGGTAAATGCTTCGCAGCCGCGAAGGGATAAGCACGGACGATTCGTGTGCTCCAATACCTCGGCGGCTAGTGAAGCAGAGAGTGACATGGGGGTCACTACGGAGGACCCTGGCGATGGCGGCGAAAGCTGTGCCTCGCTGGGGAGTTCAAAGGGGGAGCTCAACGCCGCCAAGAGGGAACAGCGCAAAGCCGTCGCAGCAGACGAAGTGTCTGAAATGGCCCGACGTGCTCGCGAACGACGAGCTGCTCTGGCGGCGGAAAAAGGAGAGCCATCTGCGGTGGCCTTGAGCCAGCTGGCTCTGGATGGGGTGGACTTAGTCCTGAAGGTTGCCACCAAGTCTGGCAGCCTGAAGGGCACGTTCACCCGTGGCTTAAAAGAGGCTGCCGCGGACATCAGGGAGGCGGTTGGCATTCTCCTCAACAGGACGGCCTCTGACGAGGTCGCCAAACTACAGGAGGAAAATAGCCGCCTCAGAAATGATCTAGAGGACCTCCGGCAGCAAGTCGCGGCACTGAGCGAGCAGCAGCAGAGATGCACATCCACCGATGCCGCATCTGTAGTGGCCCCGACTCCCGCACCGCGACCGACAAGCCCTCGTACCGACGAAGAGGTCGAGCGCATTGTCCGGCTCTGCATGCTCCAGTGCGGGAGCATGGTTAACGCTCGGCTGGAGGCGATTTCTCGGCGTCTCCCGGCGGAAACCCTACGTCCGCCTTTGGCAGCAGACACGCGGAGAACTGAGGAGCCGCCGAGACTTGCGCCTCAAAAGGGGAAGCCCATGGAGGGTAAAATAAAGCCCGCGGAGGGAGCTCCTCCGAGCGACCAGCCCACGACAGCCGGGTCTAAGGGTGAGACATGGGCGAAAGTCGTGGGCCGCAAGAAGGCCCGCAAAGCCGCCAAGAAGGCCGCAGCAGCTGCACATGCCCCAGGTGGAACCGCAAAGACGGCTCCTCAACCTGAGCGTCGGACTGCCAAAGGCGGTCGCAAGAAATCGGCTGTACGTGTTCCGCGGTCCAATGCGGTGACAATAACATTGCAGCCCGGAGCTGTGGAGCGTGGCGTGACGTACCAGTCGGTCATCGCTGAGGCCAAGGCCAAGATTAAATTATCAGATCTTGGCCTTCAGTCCGTCACCCTCAGGCAGGCTGCCACGGGTGCGCGGCTGTTCGAGGTGGCTGGCACTGTGAGCGACAGTGCCGAAAAGGCGGACGCATTGGCCGCCAAGATGAGAGAGGTCCTCAACCCTGAGGACGTCCGGGTCTCCAGACCAATGAAAACCGCAGAATTGCGGATTGCTGGCCTGGACGACTCCGTGACATCTGAGGAGGTGGTGGCGGCCGTTGCCAGAAGCGGAGAGTGTCCGCCGGACAAGGTGCGGGCCGGCGATATACGCACCGATGCCACCGGACTTGGCGCGGTCTGGGTTCGGTGCCCTGTAGCGGCGGCAAAGAAGGTTGCCGATAGCGGCAGATTGCTGGTAGGCTGGGTGGCGGCAAGGACGAAGCTGCTACAGCCCCGGGCTTTGCAGTGCTTCCGGCGCCTTGAAAAAGGGCACGTCCGGGCGAAGTGCACCGCCGAGGTTGACCGCAGTGACCTTTGTTACCGCTGCGGCCAGCCTGGCCACAAGGCGGCCCTGTGCACCGCGGCGTTCAACTGCAGCCTTTGCTCTGCTGCGGGAAGGCCAGCGGAGCACAGAGTAGGCGGAGGGGCCTGTGGGGCGCCTACCAGCAAGTCCAAGGCCAAAAAAGAAGAGAAGAGGAGCACCAAGCCTGCCGAGTTAACCTCGCTGCCCACACAGGCCAGTAGCTCCGCGGGCGACTCCCGGCCCAGGACCGTTGAGAAGGAAATGGAATGCCAATAATGGCAAAGTTCCATTTTCTCCAGGGCAACATCAACCACTGTGCCAGAGCTCAGGATCTCCTACTCCAGAGCTTGGCAGAGTGGTCGATTCACGTGGCTGTGGTCGCCGAACCGTACTTCATTCCCGCCCGTGACAACTGGCTGGGATGCGCTGACGGTTTGGTGGCCATTATTGGCGAGACTCTGATCGAACCGTCTCGGGGCCGTGGCTGGGTTGCTGCGGTCTCGGGTGGTATCGTTATTGTGGGGGCGTATTTCTCCCCCAACAAGAGTCTCGCCGACTTTGAGGGTTTCCTTGTCGAGTTGGGCGCCGTCGTAGGCCGCTATCACCCTCGTCCCGTTCTGGTGCTCGGGGATCTCAACGCAAAGTCATCAGCGTGGGGATCTCCGGTCACTGATCCTCGGGGCGAGGTGCTAGAAGAGTGGACAGTGACAACTGGTCTGGTCGTCCTGAATCGGGGTTCGGAATACACGTGCGTGCGGCAGCGGGGCGGGTCGATAGTGGACGTCTCGTTTGCCAGCCCCTCTGTCGCCAGCCGAGTCCGCGACTGGCGTGTCGCCGTAGGGGTGGAGACGTTGTCGGACCATCGGTATATCCGGTTCGACGTCTCTGCCCAGACTGCGAGAGGCCGCCATCCAACTACCCCGATTAACGACGGCCCGCGTTGGGCGCTTAAGCGCATCGACAGGGAACTACTCGAGGAAGCTGCCTTAGTCCAGTCCTGGATCTGGGAGTCGGCAACGGACGGTACCGTCGACGTCGAAGCAGTGGCGCTATGGTTTCGCGGGGCGATGACGCAGATCTGTGACGCGTCCATGCCCCGTGTCCGCCAACGGTCCGCAAGGCACCAGGTGTACTGGTGGACCGCCGAGATCGCGCAATTGCGCATAGCGTGCGTTGCGGCCCGACGCCGGTACACCCGATACCGGAGACGGCGTCGACGGGATTCCGCCGAGGAGGACGCGCTGTATGAGGTGTACCGCGCGTCTAAGGAGACTCTGTGGCTGGCCATCGGCGACTCGAAGTCGCGTGCCAGGGAGGAGCTGCTGGGGTCCCTAGATCGGGATCCGTGGGGGCGCCCCTACCGTTGGGTACGGGGCAAGTTGCGTTCCTGGGCGCCCCCACTAACGCAAACAATGCAACCCCAGTTGCTAGAGACGGTGGTATCAGTTCTCTTCCCTGAACGAGTGGGACACGTTCCCCCGGCGATGGCTTCGCCCTCAGCCACAGACTCTCCAGAGGAGGAGAGCACCGATGTCCCCAAGGTGACGCAAGCAGAGATGAGAGCGGCCATGGCGCGACTTCGGGCCAAGAACACAGCGCCCGGACCCGACGGAGTTCCTGGTCGAGCTCTCGTCCTGGCTCTGAAGGAGCTGGAGCCCCAGCTGAGGGGGCTCTTCACGGCATGTCTCGAGCAGGGTCAGCTTCCCAGTGTGTGGAAGGAGGGAAGGCTGGTCCTACTCAGGAAGGAGGGGCGCCCCGCGGACTCACCGTCCGCGTACCGGCCCATAGTGCTGCTCGACGAGGCGGGCAAACTTCTTGAGCGTATCATCGCAGATCGCCTCGTCAGCCACTTGTGCAGAGTGGGGCCAGACCTGGACGAGAACCAGTTTGGTTTTCGTCGCGGGCGCTCCACCATAGACGCTATTACGCGCGTGAGGGCCCTGGCGGAGGAGACAGTATCCCGGGGTGGGGTGGTGCTGGCGGTGTCATTAGACATCTCCAACGCCTTCAACACCCTACCCTGGAGTTGTATTCGGGAGGCGCTTAATTACCATCGCGTGCCTCCCTACCTCCGCCGCACAATAGGGGCCTACCTTGAGGAGAGATGCGTCACGTATTGGGGACGTGACAGCGCTGGTCGACGCGTCATGTCGTGCGGTGTTCCGCAGGGATCGGTCTTGGGACCGCTCCTGTGGAACATCGGCTACGACTGGGTGCTGAGAGGTGAGCTCCCGTCGGGCGCTGACTTGACCTGTTATGCGGACGACACGCTCGTCACTGCCCGGGGGAGCTCGCACAGGGAAGCAGCGTTGGTTGCCACGGCTGCGGTTTCACAAGTGGTGAACCGCATCCGGTGCCTGGGCCTGGAGGTGGCCCTTAACAAGTCAGAGGCCATGGTGTTTCATGGCCTTCGACGCGCGCCGCCACCGGGATCGCACATCGTGGTCGGCGG